CTTTCGACTTTCATTAAATAACTTTCAGTATGTAACACGGACTTTATACCAAATTTCGTATAGCGTTTTGTTTTTATTCACACGAATATTCGTACTCAATTCAAAATTGAATATTTACAGTTCACGTGTAAGCAATCTAGTAATTTTCTGTGGTTCAGTTGGACACCGTTGTTGACTAACCCATGGCAAAAAAATAAAAAGGAACCAATGTAAATCGTGTGTTTATTCGAACCCTTTAACGATCCAGATAGATGTCTCATGCCGAATTATGATTAATTTTGTTGATCCGCACCCAAAGTTGCTTTCAGGTGTCTTCAAAATTTGTGTAAGTAATCGTTTTGGAATAGTAGGAATTCGATTGTGGCCATTTTTTGCCTTAGAATTTAAATTTTCAAATTTTTTATTGTGGCGGGATTCGGATGTATCCTGGGAGAGATTTAATAAAAGAGCTAACTACGTTTAAGGTGTTTTGTGTATGTGTTCATTTTGGCCGGACCATTGCACACAGGAATTTGTATTTGCTCGCCCAACATGGGGCTTGCATTTACGAATGTCACGGGTCACAGCAATATGGAGCAACAAATTATACGGAAATGCAAACCTAAGTGTACTTAACCCTCAAATTCTACGCTGCAATATCATGGAAATAAAATCAACCCGGAAACGTTTAAAAATGACCACGGGAATAGGTTTTCCCTCCTAAAGGTACCTTTACTGCGACAAATATTTGGGTAATCAGTTATTGGATAATTTCAAGAGGAATGTTTTCTGTCACGTGTTGAAAGTGACCGTAGCGTGATGGATTCGGGATTAGGAGATCACTCCCAGATCAATGTATTTCTTTATGCTTTATTATGGCCAGAAACAAGAACGTCGTTTTGTTGGGAATTACATAACCTTTACTCTACATTCACTAATTCAGACTCCCACAACCCTTTTGTTGAAAGCAAGATGACAAATTACATGGGAAGACAAATCCTACGTTAACAAATAGAATATGTGAAAATTAGCAAATTGCAACTCATATCGCACATAAATTCTAAACCGAAGAGTTTTTGTGTTAGCAGCATTCCACTCCTGGAATTGGTAACAAAAAAAACCCTGGTTGCAGGAGTTTCGAGTCGAGAACAGTCCCAGCACTAGGTGTCGCATCTAATGTGGTTACAGTGGTAAACTTTTCAAGGGGAAAAGTGTAAAGCTTACAAACAACAAGTCTATAGACACATCAAACTTCAAATAATTCGATAATTTTCACATGTTTAAAAGAATGATCAAAATTTATAAACTTAACTTGAGCCAAGAAAATGTAATCGAAACAAACAAATTGAGCAAACATTTACACCAAAAATGAAAGTGATTTCAAAAGTATAGAAGTTGACGGTATTATCTATCACATGATCCATTGTGGTTAAATGATGACAATATTTAGAAAACAAAGATTGTAAATTTTAAAAAAATAATAAAATGTTGCATACAAAACACAACTAAATTATAAAGAAATTCAAAGGTTACTACATGCATTAAATAACACCAAAAACAACAAACTTAAACTGCTTTCGTGATGAAAGTTGAAACGAAAATCCAGTTACGTAGCAAGCGTTAGATCTCTCGAGCTGACGGAGAGAGCTTCTCCCTTCTAATAAATCGCACGGTTGCCAGCTCTCAAACCTCAACAACATAATAGAAACGAAGCAATATGCCACCAAAGGCATGGCAGATAACAGTATCAAGATAAATATATTGCCGATAGCAATAAAAAATTGGTTAATTACCTGAAAGAGAACCAAATCATACACCACACATACCAACTAAAATAAAAAAAACCTACAGAGTGCTAATTAAGAATTTACACCACACCACAGAAGCAAAACAACTCGAGACCGAATTATTGAATAAATGGTCCGAACGGGAGACATAGAATATTTATTTATTTGTTTGTTTGTTTGTTGTTCTATACTACTCCAGTATTTACCTTACGAATCAGGAAAACCTAATTCGGAGTAGTCGGCAGAATGCTCGAAACTGTTCTAAGGAAATTCCCATCTCTGCCGCAGATGAAAATTTTTTACCTTAGCCTAGGTTCGAACGCCCAACGTCCCGGCTATGTAGCCCAACGCTCTACCACTGTGGTACACAGTCGGGTTATAATAATTATATAAATAAAAGAACCATGAAATTAATTCCTTTCGTTGAGAACTTTCATTAGAGTACCATGAGGCATGAAGAATAAAACTAGTTCCACTCCCCCTCCTCCCCTCCACCCCGTACTTTGTTAAGAGGACAGAAAGAAGGGCAGTAGTTGGTAGAAAACGGTTCCCTTCGTTGAGACCTTTAATTAGAATACAATAAGAGGTAAAATTAATTTTTAACCCCCCCCCCCCTCAGGCCCCGTCGCTCACTGATTTCGAAAAAGAGTCGGACGGGAAGTTATAGTTGGTACAAACCAATTTATTTCGATGAGACCTTTCATGAAGGGTAGAACATGTGTTTACCCCCCCCCCCATTTCCTAAAGTTTAACTAGCACCACTAAAGGCAGCGTATGCAAAATGTGAGACAAATTGGTTGTCGTATGTAAAAGCTATACACGTTTTACTTTCAAAAACAGCATCTCAGGAAATAAGAATTCGTGAGGAGACCCCCCTTTTAGACAGCAAAATTTTATGGCCGTCTGGCACACCTTCAAGGTATAGGCTACCTACTGCAAAAAATTCCAGGACTCTAGGACCATTCCCCTAGAAGTAGTTCAAAACGATAGAAGTGGGTCCGGACGGACGGACGGACAAAACGAAAACGATAGCACATTTTGTTTACTTCTTAAAAAATGCGCTAAAAATAAGTCAATAGTAATTGAATTTTGAAATAGAAACAACGAATGCGTACGCGCTTTGTGAGTTTGTAGACGAAAAGTTATTTCTGACGCCCATTTATGCTGGACCCTCGTTATCGCGTAACGTGCCCTTTTCCCGTATAAACCAGTTAAAACAGAGTTGACTCTTAGGACCTTAAACACATAAACTAATAATTTATGACGTGCGGCATAAACAGAATTCGGTTATGAGACTAAAGCAATGAAGGCGAAAAATTAAGGTTTTTAGCATGGCTAATTGTTTTATGTTGATCTAAAGGAATGGATATTTAACTTTTAACGAAAGCGCTCGAGGGGCAGTGAAAAACCTTTCAGTGTAGAGTAAGGAAGTAACTTATGTACTTTATAAAAAACAATGCAATTTATTTGTTAACTGAAATTCATCGACTTCAGTTAGAAAATGTCCAAGATTGAGCAGAATTGTGCGGTTTAGAAAATTTTGTTAATTATATTCACTACGAATCCATTACCGGAATGATTCATTACATGCTAAATTCTTTTCAATTAATATTAATTAATTACAGATATATATGCAAGTAGCTATAACCCTATATGAATCTGTCCGTGGTCTGATATAAATAAAAGCAACAGATAGGGGCGTTGATCAGGAGCGGACTTCATAAATTAAAGTTGGAATTTATTATTATTATTAATGAACATTAAGCCGGGCGAAACTATGCGTTCGGCTATCAATTATTTGTAGGTGAGTTGCTAATTACGCAAGCTACTAGTAAATTATATTATTCATTTTATTCTTCCCAGACCTAGGTTGAACTACGCTTATTATAATAAAGACATTCTATTCTTTCAGTGGGGCGGTCAATGTGGTTCCATAAAAAACCGTCCATTTCAACTCCTAATACCAGTCCGCGTTCTCGTAGTTAATAAGTCCTGAGTACTGTCATTTATGCGTCCGCACGTTATACGGAAATTTAAAAGGGACACAGTCAACGTAAAGATTGGGCATATGCTCTCCTTCCGTCTCCACACTTATCGGGAAGCATAAAATGGCATACAAGCCAAAACGACATACAACGCCCAGTATCAAAATCTGGCCCAAGAGATGGAGAGTCGGTTGAATTCGTTGAGGTTCGGTACGCGCCCTTGGGGGTGGTGTTCAAGGTGATCACTAAACTAAATAAGTGGCAGAAAACCCGAAACCACTTTCTACTCTCTGTTAATCCAACGTAAAATAATTGTTTGGCACAAGAAAACTCACACGGTTTCAGTAAGTTCGAGGAGGTTGTATTGTATCAGGCTGCCTTCGCCTATGTGCGAGATGTGTGGTGGGTCGCTTCGGCTTAGGTTAAGTAATGAAAGGCAGTTCATAACAATGCACTGATTCGTTTAGTATTTGTCCAGGAGCACCTTAACCTTTTTCTATTTTCTATTCTATGTTGGAAATCAATAATTTTATAAGACCGTGAGTCCTTCGATGCAGTTTGGTTGCAATTTGACCACAGTTTGTTCAGATTATTTTATTCAGATGTTAAGCTACGAAAAATTGGTTCTTACTCATTCATAACTTGAGTAATATCTTTCAGATATTACACCAGAGAGATACCACCATAGAAACTTTTGCAGATGATACAGAAAATATTGCGAAGGCAATGCTCTGCTGAGCTAAAACAAGAATGAAAAGAGCTTCTCGTTGGAGAAGTGACCGACCACGCAACTAGAGCTTCGTGACTCTTAAGCAAAGAAAATAGCTTACAGAACATTGTGTAAATTCTGATTGCTAATAAATTTTAAAAAATCATAACTTTTTTTATTGTCTAATAATTTTTTGCCCACGCAGAAATAATTAAAATATATATGCGAATCATTTTCACGTATCCCTTACACTAAAGTATAGAAAGCGCCTTCAGAGTTTCACTTTTAAAAAATTGTCAATTTTGAGGGTTTAAGATGTACCTCGTTCTTAAAAAGTGTAGGTAGGTGTAGCCGTGTGCGACCTTAGGCCCCCTTGTGACTTCAAACCCGAAGTTTATTCAAATTTTTCCGATTTTTTTGAGGTAGTCGAACGATTTCCTTGCAGTAGTTAAGTATATGGCATGCAAGGCAAAACCTCTGAATATAAGTATATTCCGGTAACGTAGGGTAAGTCGGAGTTTCGAGAAAAAGATCAAGGTATGTATGTACACGTATTTAATGCGTTGAAACTACAACGATAACAAGATGGACATTTAATAAAGAGTCAGTTACGTCAAAGTAGCAAGTTTAGGGATACAGTTTTTGTATCCTATCGATATCGTCTTTATGTAGTTTACTCCACACACTGTACGTCGGGTACATGACCGCTTCCTTAACAGAGGAGTGTTCCAATCCAAGCGAGTGACCCAGCTCGTGTAGAGCAACACTAAAGAAATCGTATCCTGAAAACTCATTTTAGCAATCTGCCAATTCCCGCTGTAGCCTTACCATTTACACCGCCCAAGTTCCACTTTTCGTCATTATCGAAGTGAATGTCTCCGTGTTGCGGGAAAAAGGCATGGGCCAAGACACCGTTTGGTCCATCAAACGGATATCTGGAAAGATACCCAATTATCAAGTTAAAATTGGGACTCAAAGATGTTACGTACCCGCATCCGTGATCTCCTGCCCCGAAAAAGGATATAATATCAGCAGATTTGACGTCGGATACTCTTTCGAAATGTAAGTTGACGTAATTTGCCCAAGTATCCAGGGCAAGTTTCATGTTATCGGCATATTGCTCTTCCGTAAGGTCTAGGGTCTTCTTTCCTATACTGAAAGAATTTGGTTATATTTTCTTCTGTTACACGTTATCGGAATACTTACTGGTAAGTGATGTTCCTTTTACTCCATGCTACATTTCTAGCAGCACGAGGTTGGCCGTTCACAAAATCGGGAACCCCACAGCGAGGTTTATTCGTAAACTATAACCAGAAGCATTAATTATCAAGCTGTGGACGAGAAAGCTATGCAATTACCTCAATGGTTGCCTGGTCGATGACGCCAGTTTCGGGAATATGAGCCATGTTTTGTAGTTTCTTAACAGCTTCCACCACACTTAATCGGTTATGTAACTGAGCCGCTTCCAAATACCCGAATTGTGTTAAGTAATTCAGCTAAAATGATGGCAAATAATTAGCATTTCTCAATATTCGCAGTTAATGTGGTACTTACGACATCGTTCTGCTCTGCAGCGGGCGCAGCATACGCCATAGTAAAGAGGGCTGCAATCAATACCAATTTCATGGTTGGATGCTTTGGAAAAAGTGAAGGTTTGAAAAAACGGCCGCTTATTTATAGGAGTAAGTTAAGTATCTCTTAACATATTATCTGCCGGTGCACTTACAGACAAAGGAAATAGATATCAATTTTTCAGATAAAAGACAGATATTCTATTTTTGAAGCTATTATCTGTGGGAATTGATAACATATCACATCCAGGTGCTCTAAAATGCATTAAATATTATTCAATGCCTTTTTTCACTTCAAAGTTCATCCACAAATGAGGAAAAAATGCTGCACTAGCACCAACGTTCAGGGGTCGGAGGTACTCGGACAAGATCGTAATAATATCGTGCGAGAACAACAAGGAACCTGACAATTTGGTGGCTTGGAGGTACAGAATTCCTGGGCAAAGCCAGGCAGCTGGTGTCTCTTCCGTACAGCCGTGAAGGATCAACGGTTTTCCTCTCTAAAAGTGAGGGTTAGTAACCCTGCCGAACCTGAGGTGGGGAATACGTCAGTACAATCATCACAACAACACCATTAGCTGCAACAGGGGTATCTACAAAAAGCTACGAAAGCATCACCGCCCAGGCCCAGGCAGCGTTAGCAACTCACCCGGGCGGCTTTCGAACTGGGATGAGTTTGCGAATATTGAACCGCCCCTGGAGTCCGACAAACGATCGCCAAGTATTGTCTCCCTATGAAAAAGATTTTATACAAATAAACCTGCAACACTGTAGTGCGGCTGTTGTTACCTACCTTAAGGAGTGCAAAGCAGGACATTTTCCTTATTAAAGAACGCTTGGTTGTTAAATAAAGGGTTTCTTATAGCCTTGGGGACACAAAAGGAACCGTTTTGTTTGATCCCCGGCAAAAAACCTAGAATATGTATGTAGTGTACTTAACACCTAACTTCTACACCAACTTCACACTACAAGAACACGGAAATAAAGTCAACCCGGCAACGTTTAAAAACGGCCACCCGAATGACTATTCCCTCCAAAACTAAACGAGATCCCGCTTAAATTTGAAAAGTGGCACGTGATAAAACATCTAAGGCAGGGCCCCCTTACCTTAGTTGTAGACAACGCTTTGACCTGCAGCACAATAGGCATTGGCGTCGCCAGCGAGGGGCAGGGAGGGGCAGTTGCCCCCCCCTGGAAATGAAAAATGAACACAAAAATTACAGAACCTTGCTTATAAAAACGTGTGATATACTTACCACGGTCCACGTTTACATGTGCAGTTTATATGATTTTATCTAAAATCACATTTATAACCTTCCTAACATTTCGAGTGAAATACCTAGAGCTTTGGCGAAATCTATGGGCGAATAAAGCGGATACAACGATCGACGAGTTGACCGTGGTGTATGTTTTAAAAGAGGCAGATGAGTTCTTTCCGCAAATTAAAACAGCTCTGCAGATTTTAGTTTGTCTGCCGTGCACAACATCTACGGTGGAGCGGTCATTTAGTGGACTAAGGAGGATAAAGACGTGGCTAAGAAGTACCATGGGACAAGCCCGTCTTGATGGTTTGGCTATGATGAGTGTTCATCGTGAGTAGAAGGGGGACACCTTCCGCCATCTTGGATTTTGTGACGTCAGCTGACCTTGGGGTTTTTCCCTGACCTTGGGTTTTCCCAAGGTCGTGGCCTTGGGTTTTTCCCAAGGTCGTGGCATTGGGTTTTCCCAAGGTCGTGGCCTTGGGTTTTCCCCAAGGTCGTGGCTTTGGGTTTTCCCAAGGTCGTGGCCTTGGGTTTTCCCAAGGTCGTGGTTTTGGGTTTTTCCCAATGTCGTGGCTTTGGGTTTTCCCAAGGTCGTGGTCTTGGGGTTTTTCCCAAGATCATGGTTTTGAGGTTTTTCCAAGATCGTGACTTTGGTACAGGATCATGGTCTTGGATCCTGGGGCAGGGTTGTGATTATGGATTCTGGATCAAGGTCGTGGTCTTGGATGCTGAGTTGAGATTGTGTGATTTGGATTCTGGGATTTGAGTTGGACTAAAATTGTGCTCTGGGATTTTCCTAGCGAATTTAAAAGAGAGAGGTGTAGAGAAAAATAAGAGATGTTGTATTACAAACCTAATCTAAGTACATACTCTTAGAAAATGGTAATCCATACATTTCAAATTTTACAAAGAAGAAAACAAAATGATTCAGGGTTTGTTCTGCCTTTAATAAAAATCTTCGAGTTTAATTTTATAGATTCATAAAAAAAGATTAGGAAGATATTCGAAATAATACGTTTCAGAACTTGTAACGTATAAGTGCAATCGAAATCATTGCGTATGTTGAGAGTTTATTAACTCATAAAGATCATCATCATCATGTAAGTGATGTCCAAGCTCATATAGATTCCAATTAAAAAAATTACATTATCAACAATTTTATTTAGAGGAAATAACATTAAGATAATACATATACCTCTTTTTTTGCGATATTGTACTTTCAATAACATAATTAATAAAAAACAATTACAAAGGAATAGTCAATATTTAACATTCTGCTTACAAGTTGAAAGTAAAAAAAAGTGATTGTTGTGATTCAAGTTTGTTACGGTAATTATACACCTAATTGCTTACTGTTATTTAATTTGTAGATAGTAGGGTAGTGTCAATATAAAAGAAAAGAGCATACTTGTCTGTTTATGTAATTTGGTTTTTATCATTATATACGGTTATAATGGAAGACCTAGTACGCCTATTGAATTTATCTGTAAGTGTAAAAAATTTGGAAAAATTAAACGAAAAATACAATTTAAATATTGAAGAGTTGTCAATCTGTTATAGTGCCATAAATCAATTGAGTGCGTCCTTTTTTGAAAACTTTGTCTTCAAATGTCAATCTTTTTGGTGTAGCATAGATACAATGCTAGAACGTGCCGTCGTTCCCGTACCAAATGACACGTTGTACAATTTGTGTGCTAAAAAAATGCTGCGGAGACCTTCTGAATGGATTAATTTACCAATCGATATCCAAACGGAATTGTCGTGGAAAAAGAAGAAGCTAGATGATCTCGGTAGAGACCTACTACATCTTGAAAAAGAAACGGACGCAGAGTTAGTTAAACGAGTGAGAGACATAAATAGTTATTTAATTTCCAGTCAAGAACTTGTAGGTACTCTAATAGGTAGTTTAAATAAAATTAAGGATGATATAGATATTGAGTTGTTTAATAATAGTTATTTTGTAGATGTTAGTTTTAATTACTTAAACTTATACGAAGGGATTTGTATAAATATTGTTAGTATGTCTGATTGTTATAGACAGTATTATAGTAGATATAGGGACTTAATTTACAATTGGTCATGTATATATAATAAACAGATTTAACGAGGGGTATAAACAATCTTTTATTGTTCAAGTTTAATTTTATGTCGATAAAAAAAGGTTAATTAAAATCTCTGTCTTTACTTTGAATTTTCTGATTGTCTCGATTTACAAAACATCCAAAAACTCGTAACAAAAATTTGCAAGTTCTGAGGAAATGGTACAGGATCATTACCCACTACTTGGCTATAAGAAAAAACTAAGAAAATTGAACAAGTTAATTAAATAAAATTAAATTCGATTTTTTTTTTACAATCTCTATCTTGAAACATATACCACACACGTGCTATCTTCCATAAATACATATAAAAGTTCAATATCAGAAAACAGCAATCGCTTTTAAAATTGAATAATAATTTGAACTTAGCGAAAATTAACATTTTGTACCTCATCTCCTCATTTTTATATAATTCAAACTACTCTACTTTTCTGAAAAAAGACCATCACATAACTTCAAATCAAAACTTTTGTGTTTTAATTTTATTTCATCAACAATTTTGAATATTCGAAAAAGTTGAAAAAATTACAACTACACAACGATTTTCGCGCGTATCGTACAAAACTTTGGTAAGTAGATAAACTTGATACCCAGTTTTTCACAAACATTCAAGACTACTACGTTTCGGTTTACAATCAGAATATCGCTCCGGGCATATAGCCCCGAGCAAAATATCTGATTAATATGCTTGTAGGACGTGGCTGAAGTGTATCTTGAAGAGAAGCCTATTACGTACTCGTTTTATTACAATACTCGTTCGCAATACCGTGAATTTTTGTGATTGTCTCGATTTACAAAACTCGTAACAAAAATTTGCAAGTTCTGTGGAAATGGTACAGGATCATTACCCACTACTTGGCTACAAGAAAAAACTAAGACGATTGAACAAATTAATTAAATAAAATTAAACTGGATTTTTTTTTGCAAGTTCTATCTTGAAACATATACCACGCACGTGCTATCTTCCATAAATACATATAAAAGTTTCATATCAGAAAACAGAAATCGCTTTTAAAATTTAATAAAAATTTGAACTTAGCGAAAATTAACATTTTGTTCCTCATCTCCTCATTTTTATATAATTCAAACTACTTGACTTTTATGAAAACAGACCATCACATAACTTCTAATCAAAATTTTTGTGTTTTAATTTTATTCCATCAACAATTTCTTTGAATATTCGAAAAAGTTGAAAAAATTTCAACTACAAAACGAATTTCGGTCGGTCAAAAAAGGACGCACTCAATTGATTTATGGCACTATAACAGATTGACAACTCTTCAATATTTAAATTGTATTTTTCGTTTAATTTTTCCAAATTTTTTACACTTACAGATAAATTCAATAGGCGTACTAGGTCTTCCATTATAACCGTATATAATAATAAAAACCAAATTACATAAACAGACAAGTATGCTCTTTTCTTTATATTGACACTACCCTACTACCTACAAATTAAATAACAGTAAGCAATTAGGTGTATAATTACCGTAACAAACTTGAATCACAACAATCACTTTTTTTTACTTTCAACTTGTAAGCAGAATGTTAAATATTGACTATTCCTTTGTAATTGTTTTTTATTAATTATGTTATTGAAAGTACAATATCGCAAAAAAAGAGGTATATGTATTATCTTAATGTTATTTCCTCTAAATAAAATTGTTGATAATGTAATTTTTTTAATTGGAATCTATATGA